AAAAAAAAAAAAAAAAAAAAAAAAAAAAAAAAAAAAAAAACTATTAACCTAATAAGAGCTTTCAGTAAGACAAGTTTTCATTAAAAGTAAACAGGGTATGAAATAAAAAAAAATAAAATGAATTTTGGAACAAAATCAACACTATTTCAGGTGTAACTGACCTTTGGAGTGTTCTTATTGAATAAACAATTACATGTAGGAAATGTAACAGGAGCTGACCGTTTTTAGGAACCAGTGGGCAAAAGGTGGAGACTCTCCAGGAAGTAACTGTTATTGGAGAGAGGCTCTAGACTCCAAACGGTGAGAAAAGGAGACAGAACAGGAGCTGGGAAATGCAGATCTCAGTGGGCTCTGAGTTTCATCAAAGAACAGGGATTCCCCTTCACAGACTGAAGACATGGGACCTTCCCAGTACCCATATTCTAGAGGCAAAGGCCAGTACCCATGTTCTTTCCTCTTGCTCTTCTGGCTCCACCAGCCTCGTGGGGACACGTTGAGTTTCTCTGATGGCCCCTACAGAAGCTTTCTCTTCTCCAGAATCTGTTCCTGGGAAGTCGGCTTGGGTTTCATGGAGGCTGGATCAGAGAAATACAGGTGAGGTCCACAGGGGCATGTTTACAGTTCCTCACATCTCAAGGGTCAAATACTCAGAGGAGCTCATTAAATAAATTGTTTGCTATTCTGTCCATTCTACGGGTAATCCATCTTCCTTGAGAGAGAAAGCATATAGCATTATGGAAATTCACAGTCCATTTTGTGTCTATGTTGGTAGGTCTTGATGAATTTAGTTCCTCAACGAGAAATACTTTTTTCTTTGACTTGATTTAAAAGTCGTAATGTGTCCCCTAAGGAAAGATTAATTTCAGCAAGGATCACATCCTAGGAGCATCTCTCTGTAATGTGTCTCCATGAAGACTCTTTGCAGATTTTATGATCTCTTGGGGTCCACAGTGTTATGGAGGAAAGGAGCCATTTATTTCAGAGTTTTCTGCTTATTTTTCAAGTTCATTTTTAAAAATTGGCAAATAAAATTGTGTGTATTTATCAGGTACAACATGTTTCAGAAGCACATATACAAATTAGAATGCCTAGATCTAACCAATTATCATTTTTGTTGTGAGAACGCTTACATCCAGTCTTCACAAATACAACATATCATCACTAACTACAGTCACCAGACTGTAATTATGTTTCCCCTATGACTTCCACCTAATTAATTGCAATCTTCTCTCCTTTAATGAACATTTCCCATCACCACCCTCAACCACCCCAGATGTTTAACCACCAATCTGATCTTTGTTTTTGTGAGATCAACATTTTTAGATTCCACATACATGTGAAATTGATTTTCTGTGCCTGGCTCATTTCATGTAATCTCACATCCTCCAGGTTCATCTGGGTTGTGCCAAATGACAGGATTTCCTTTTTGATTTCTGGATAGTATTCCATGTGTGTGTACATCACATTTTTGTTATCGATCCATTGATATGTGCTCAGATTGTCAACAAATATTGGCTCCTGTGAATAGTGTGTCAGTAAACAAGGGGGTGCAGGGGTCTTCCACATGCAGATGTCATTTCCTTTGGATACACACCTAGTCCTGGGATTGCAGGATCTTGTGGAGTTCTATTTTTACTTTTTGAATGTACCTCCACATGGGTTTCCATACCAGCCTCACTGACATTCTCAGGGCTGTACTAACACACACGCCCAGGAGCAGTTTTGGGGGGCTCCCTTTCCTCCATGTCATTGTTAATACTCCCCTTTATCCTTTTTTACAACAGCCATTGTGACTGGAGGGACGTGAGAGCACAAGTTGGTCTTGATGATCATTTCCCTAATATTTACCGATGTTGAGCAATCCTTTTGGGACCTGTGGGCATCTGTAGATCTTCTCATGAGAAATGTCTATGCAGGGTTTTTCCCAGTTTTTAATCAGATGATCTGTTTTCTTACTGTTGAGTTGTTTAACTTCCTCAAGTATTTGGTG